TTATAAAACAACACAGGATCGCAGCGATGGCGTCGAGTAGAGTCTTAGCAGTAGATGGTGACAATGTACGATGTGGACGCACCGCAGACCCACGTCTGCTTGTCATCGGGGACGCGGTAGGCATCGGCGCAGCCAAATTGCTTGCAGTAGAGGTTTTTGCAGTTGCTGCCGCCGCTTGAGTTGACGACCTCGACCGTCATGCCAACGTTGAAGCCCTTGTTCTTGCCAATGCAATGGTCCCAGTACGGCCCACAGTCGTTCGGGATCGCCGAGATGTCGTAGTTGACCTTGCCCGTTGCCGGATCCAGAAAGCTCTCAAAGAGCGTCGCGTCTTGGCCCGGACCGCTCTTGAACATGACATTCCCAACAAAGTCGTTGATACCAAAATCCTTGAAGCTGCCGCCGGCGATCTGCGTGTTGTGGTCTTTGTATGGCTGCGTTCGCCACCACAGGTCCAGCGGCTGGTTGCAGCCATTCTGGATGCGATAAACGCTGGCTGCAACGGGCGCCGGCGTCGGAGCTTGCGTTGGGGCAGGCGTGGGAGCGGGTGTGGGAGCAGGTGTGGGGGCAGGCGTCGGGGCAGGCGTCGGAGCAGGCGTTGCAACAGGGGTAGGGTTGGGTGTCGGCGCCACAGTTTCCGACTCGAGCGAGGCCGTCGTGTTTGAGGGCGAGGGCGTCGTGGTGGTCGGCGCCTCAGTCGCAATCGCGGTTGTGTTGTCGGTCGTCGGGATTGGTGTGATCGACGGCGGCAACGTGTTGTCACTGCCTCCGCCACGGACCATGACCTCGGACGCGTTGGGTGCAACGGCCGTCGGCGCCGGCGTCGTGAGCGCCGAGCGTTGATTGGCCTCGGACGAGCCGTTGGACATGGCGACAATGACGCCAATAGAAACACCGACGACAAGCAGCGCGGCGGCGAAGATAGCAAGCACGCGGTTCCGGCGCTGGCGCTGAATGGATTCGACAAAGTCGTCCGAGTCCTTGTCGTCCGTGGCGCGCCCAAGGAAGCTCGTCTCGCGGATCTCGTTGGTGGCAGGCGTGCCGCTCATGGGCGTGATGTTGACGACGGTGTCCGCGTCGTGTACTGCCATCGTTGGTCAGTGAAGTAATTTCGGAAATGCAGCGCCGTGGCGCCGACGATATTACGCGCGGCTTGCACTTGGCCCATTACTCTCTTTTGTGCGCTCTCTCTATGTGCTCTCAAGAGATCTCAATGGTATTATATGGATCGCTTATATGTATATTTGTAAATGGAATTTGAAGGAATAATTAAAATAGTATGTGAGCGGTGCCATTACGCACGGCCGTGTCACACTGCTGCGATCTTGACGCGTTAATAATATGTCATAAACAATGGCGTTCATCACGTGGAGCATTCTTGACAGCGCTGGCACCGTACCGTAGATGGGGCTGCTATGCACGATACTTGTAGAGGTCGAGCAGCACGCGCATGGGTGCCGGTACCGCGACCAGGTTTGCAGCGACGTCATGGACGTGTTTTGGTACCGAGCTTTTCGAGCTTTTATAGCGTCGGGTCCCATGGTGGAGTCCAGTGCCCATGCAGGGCCCATGCAGGTTCTGCGGCATGGCAGGGGATCGGTTATTGGTGCGATACCTACAGGTTGACGTTTTTCTACTCAAAGCATCAGTGCAAGCGAGGTACGTTGAATATCCAGGGGCCTTTCGCGACGACAACATACTGTAGCTTCGACAAACTTTCCTGGTGCATGAAGCAGTGACAAGACATATCAGTAGCTGGCGAATGATCTACACACGTATTGACAGCACATCGGTCTGTGCCCTCGACATTAGCATCCGCATCTCCATCAGGGCTGGCGTTGTCAATGAGCCATGCGCCGTTCGCCTGCCAACTTTGCTCTTGTCAAGTACAGAAGCAAATATTATCCTTACCAACTCTAATAACGAGGCTGTTGCAACTAGCAACAATACACAGCATGGACCTTTGCGTGGTCTTTTAAACTCGTCAAAGCGAATCCAGAAAGCGTGTGCGTTTGTGCAGGGCTGGGGTAGGTTTAGGTTTTCTCGCGGACGCTGTGCATCGATGCCAGCAACCGCTCTACCATTGTTGCAATTTAGTTCAAAAGACAAAGCATGCAAACAGAAGAGCCGTCTGATCTTTTCCGGGCTCGTAGCTCATCAAACTCTTTGTCATTGGACTGGTCGTGAGATTTTGTTCACGGTGCTCCAATCTCTCTCTGTTGGTGCACTTTCCAACTTGCAGTGCCTTTGTTCCTCACAAAGACAGCATGTTTTGAACGAAATGACACAGTATCAAAACGATTTTATCTAGCACGGTGTTGCGCGTACCGCGAGGAGTATACTGTGAGGGTCTGGGTCCTTAGCAAAAAATGGTGACAATGTACGAGGACGACGCGCTGCAGACCCACGTCTGCTTGTCGTTGGGCACTTGGTACGCATCAGAGCAGCCCTTGTACATGCAACTGAGGTTCTTGCAGCTAGGGCCACCGCTTGGGTTGACAACTTCGACCGTCATACCAACGTTAAAGCCCTTGCCCTTGCCGGTGCAGAAGTCCCACGACGCGCCACAGTCGTTCGGGATCGTCGAAATATCGTACCACACCTTGCCGCCGGCGAGCTTGCCTTCAAAAAGCGTCGCGTCCTGGCCAGCGCCGCTCTTGAACATGACGTTGCCAGCGCCAAAGTCAACAACGCCAAAGTCCTTGTGAGCACCGCCAGCGAGCTGCGTGTTGTGGTCGGCATACGGCTGCGTGCGCCACCACAGGTCAAGCGGCTTGTCGCAGCCGTTCTTGATGCGGTAGACGCTGGCCGCGATTGGTGCGGGCGCCGGGGCTTGTGTCGGCGCAGGCGTCGGGGCGGGGGTTGGCGCAGGTGTGGGAGCCGGGGTCGGGGCAGGCGTCGGGGCAGGCGTCGGCGCCTCGGTGGTCGTCGGCGCCGGCGTCACATCTTCGGACTCGAGCTTGCCGGTGGAGGCCGTCGTCGGGACAGGCGTTGTGGCGTTTGTCGCCTCAGGAGCAGTCACGTTTGTCGGGAATGGTGTCATTGATACAAGATCTGGGACGGCGCCGGGCGCGGTCCCTCCGACCGTCACCTCGGCCGGCGCTGGCGTCGTGGCCACGGGCGTCGACGGAGCAAGACCCGAGCTTTGGCTCGCATCCGATGAGCTACCAGTGGCAGCAACGATGACACCAATGGCGACGCCAACGACGAGAAGGCCGGCGGCAAAGATGGCGAGGATGCGGTTGCGGCGCTTGCGCTGGAGCACTTCCTCGTACTCTTCCGAGTCCTTGTCGTCCGTAGGGCGCCCGACGAATTCGGTTTCGCGCCACTCGACAATGTCGTTGGCCGCCGCCGACGTGTTTCCGGGCGTGATCGTAATGATGCTGTCCTGTACTGCCATGGCGCTCGTCGTCCTGCAGTTGGCTTTGGTTGTGGCGCCTGTTCATGGCAGGCACGATTTGTGTGCTCCCACCAGGTGGCGACGCCTGTTTATTTTTAACACTTGCCGATTGTATCGAAGTAGATTAAAATACGACACACCCCAAGACTGTGGAAAAAGCTACGCTTTTATCGAACTGGACGGAGAAGCGTGGCATTACGAGCGCGTATAAGTCACGACCAACTTCAAGAAGCCTCTGCCGTGGCCCCCCAGGAGGACCTACACAAACGATCCTGTCGCTACTACCGGTATGTCGACAACGGATAATGGTGGAATCGAAGCAAAGAGCCCGAGAGCCCCGTGGCGCCAACTTGGTCGATATTCGGAAAAGTAATAGGAATGAGGATTTTTCTACCGCCTATCGCGACGACAAGCTGTCGCAGACAAATAGAAATGCAGCACAACCAAGTCGCGATCCCGCCGTCGGCATCCCCTCGATCGATGGAAAGCGGGTGGGTCCAAAACGGTGTCGACCTGACAGGCGGCTAAAACATCTGCAAGTTCGGAATCGAACGGGCCGGCGCTGCATACAGCGTCCAAGCCGCTTCGTCCATGAACGAACCGACTCGAAGCATTTGGTACAATCCAACCTGACGTTGCACGATGCGACAGCAACGTCGTGCGGCTACAGATTTCGTCTTCTCGCAGCGTTCGGCGTCTCCTGTGCGACAGCAATGTGCCCACACGGGGCTGGCCACCATGGCCAGCTCCGTGCAGCTCCATCGTTCCATTTGATGGACGCTTTGTTGTCGACGCCGCCATGCTTGTCAATGGTTGTGGCAAAGTGAGATGCGTGTGGTGGAATGCTGCAGCGGCGGGCGAGGCGAGGCGGGTGGGAAAAACCCGGCGTGTCCCAACACAATGGCGCCAGCACGATCGACGCCCGCGTCAGCGCCGAGTGGCGTAGGACGATGCGTACCTTCCTCCCATGCATGCAGCTCTTCCACGCATGTTGCATTCCCTAGCTTGTGCTTGTGCAATGGTTCATAGCGCAGTGCTAGCGCAATGGCGCAGACTATGGACGCGGGACGATGTCCGGAAACGGGCCGCTTATCCGGACAATAGAAAGGATGCTGCCCGAGGTGCGCTGGCTACGAGCGGCGCGGCTCCTTCCGCCGCAAGAAGGCACCGCGCTCAAAGGTACTGAGGCGCGTGGCCCTCGCTGATTCTAAAGATGTGCGGCAGAGATGGTTGTCCGGCGGGACCCAAGGCTACAGGCGCTGGCGACGTGCCAAGACGACACCGCACTCCTGCGCCTCGTGGCCGCCGAAGTTGGTACGACGATGACCATCGCCTCTGTCCTGCACGGAGATGTGATAGTGAGCGCTGCTTTCCGGGCGTGGTACGCAGTGTACGACAATATCGCCATGTCGACCGACGCCGCGCGCTCGCTGCACGACAACACGTCGGTCGACGATGGCGGTGGATGCACATTGTCGTCGTCGCTCGTGTACGGCGAGGTGGACTTTTTCGGCTTTGCTCGGCTTCTCGAAGCATTGGCGCCACAGGCTGGCCAGGTGCGATGGCGTGTGATCTGCAGCTACCCGGTAGTGACGACATCCTTGGCGCGTAGGTCTTCTACGACCTCGGGCACGGCACGGGTCGCGCCGTCTTGGCTGCGGTAAACAATCAACTTTTTGCGCGATTTACTTATCAGCAGATCATGTTCAGGCGCTATTGCATCCGCAGCTTACGTGCGTTGGCATCGAGCTTGTACATGCGCTCGTCAAAGCCTCTTGGGTCGCCTTACATGCGATGCCACTGCCGGTGCAACACCCATGTATCTCGTTGTTGGTCAAGATCTCTCGACTAGAACGTGATCTTGGAGCATGGCGATATCCTCACACACGCTGCGTGGTGGTACTAGTATACAAACTCGCCCCGCAATCGTCGATTTGACGAGAACTGTCCTAGGCGCGACGGCGACATTGTCTTTGTCAACTGCACGTGCTTTACGGCCGACCTCTTCCGCGCAGTGGAGGACCGTGCGTGCTGCATGAAGCCCGGGAGTCTCTTCGTGTCACTCACCAAGGTACTGTACTCTCTCTCGCTGCGGCAAGATGGTCGGCTCTAAGAACGACAATAGCGGCTTCGCCGCGCCTTGCCGTTCACGCGGCGAGGCCATATGAAGATTCGAACAAGTTGGGGCCACGAGACGGCGTACATTTATCAGAAACAGGATGCGCCTTCTTCGATGGAGGCGATGTATAGATCGACCTTGTGCTAAGATCTCCAGCAAAGATGTTCTTTGCCTTGATACCCTTGGAACAGAATTGCCGTGAATGGCAAGCGAGTGTATCTCATAGCAACGAGAACCTTGGTTGGAAACCTCATCGACCCGACAGCCACCGCGAGAAAGACGCAACACGATTGGAAAAAGCACAGCGGCCCCTCTCGTACGACTGCACTACTAGGTGCCATCTTGGACGTGGCCAAGAGCGTCATCATTCTGCGCAAGGACTCCGGTTGCTATCGAGACACGTGTGCGTCAGGCGCCGAGTTGGCGGCTTGGTTGAAGCTGGCGAATCTTTGGCCCGGCAAAGTTCGACTTACACTAATTGCGTTTTACTCAATGCTGAATATGGCGTGAGAAATGTCGACCTTCTTCAAGGTTGAAGTCTCCACTCGATCGAACACTATTTCGTGTATTTGCCCATCATGGTGGAGAAAATATGGAAGCCAAGCTCGTCCCACAACTCGGCTGCAATGGAACGCACGCAGCAGCCCGTCGTCTTGGTGCATGGTACGTAGGACGCTTAAGGCGATGGCAGTCGATTCACGACCGGTAGGCGCCTTCGGCTGGGGCCAGAAGACGCCGCTGTTTGGGGCCATGCCGTCATACTGGCCGCTGCAAGACCTCAACGAGATCAACCCCAACTACCTCGTCGTCGCCGTCGGTCCGATCTCATCCGACTACGACCGTGCTTGCGAAGTCTTTTACCAGCTCTACGGTGGTCAAGTCGACTATGGCGAAGCGCACGCCCAGACCTGCGGTGCCGTTGCCACAGTCATCCCGCGGCTCTTGACAATGGACTAGGCCACCTGCGCTTTGGTGTGACGCACGAAGCTATGCATCCCAACTGGGGCGAGGTGCGCGTGCAAATTATGCTCAAAGCTCATCTATACGGGTGGTAGGACAATCCGGTGCACTTGCTCGGACACAGTTGCGGCGCCACGACCTGTACGTCTGCCATTCTCCAATGAATTGCTAACATTATGTAGCCATCGAGCTCTACCAATTGTTGTGCAAGGACCATTTCGGTGTTGGGAGCAGTCACAAGTGGGTCAAGAGCATCATTTGCATCTGTGGCCCGCTCACCGGGTACGAACCATGTCGTGAACGAGCGTATGCGAAAGTCTACGCGTAGATCAACGCTCAGCAATCTCTTGGGGATTGGCCCTAACTCGAAGCTTGCTCTCCTCAGCGGTGGCCACCTCGTTGGGTCCTCATTCGCGCTCTTCTGGAAGCTCCAGGAATGCTACCTTCCGTCGCTCAAAGCCTTGTACGATCTCAAGATGGAGCACTGGAATAACATGACGTCATGGCGCGACGTCTTCTCGCCGGACAGCTCGCTCTTTACGAGCCACGACATTTGTACGAACTCATGGTGCACGCCAATTCTTGACGACGAATAGTGTGGGACGATATCGTCCCCGCGACGCGCCTTCAGAAGAACCAAGCGCTCATTGAGATGGACAAGGTTCATCTCTTTAGCGTCGTGACGTGTGCCAAAGACTACCCACACGTCCTCTCTGGCATGACGTGGTTTCTCAGTCTCTTCACGAACCGCATGAACAAGCACGAGCCGTTCCATGGTACATCTTTATCGACAAACTAGCAATCGAACGCCAGCCTCTTCCTAGGCTTTGACAGCCGACATTGGGCCAACAATGACGGCGTCGTCAACACGTACTCGCAAGTGTACCCGCGCGTCAAGTGCGGCCGCTTCACGCCCGTGCCCGGCGCCTGCCCGCCACTACCAAGCCACACACCTGCGAGTGGCAGCCACCTTCCGATGCCTGGCAACTACACACCTGTGCCCGGGAACCACCCAGTCGTACCGACGAGCTACACGCCTGGATCTGGCGGTCATCTTTCGTTTTCGGGCAGTGACTCGCCAGCAGTTGGGACGTGGTCGCCCGCTGAGTCGCACATTTCATTCGATTTGGATGCGCAGGACGGCGCAAGCGCGCCACTCAAGGGCCGGTGGTACACGTACCACGTCGAGAAAAACCACTTTTGTGGCACGTTTCTCGATGCCGACGCGCGTGATCTGTACTGCAACCTCTTCAAGCTCGTCAACAAGTACAGCAACATCGTGCCGGAAGAAGATGATTCGGATACAATGGCGTAGTTGGTGCAAATAGACTTGCTATTTGGTTTTATGCAGTCGGCGCTGGGGCCAGCGCGTGGAATGCGAAGGTCCGACTGGTCTTCAGAACTAGCCGCGCTGGATAGAGCGATGGTGTGGTGCGAACACGCTCCCTCTATGGAAGTAGCTGCTGTGCACCTATCCTTAAAACGGGTCCTTCTTGCTGCCGCTCACCACTCTGAGTAGTTTTCTCCCACATCAACTGGTCGGGCAGTATCTTGAAGAAGATTACAGGGTTCTTGAGCATGCTTTGCGGCAATTCATTTGCGCAATTCGCGCGGAGTCGTGAAATTGTACTGCATTGAGAACCACAACACTGCTTTGTAGCTATGTTCGTTAAAATGTCAATTAATACGACCACCAGCAATCAAGCTCAACGATTGCGGGCACATGTACCAGGTACTGCACGTGGCAGCTTCGGCATGGCATGGGTGTGATCACGGACATCGAAACATCCAGCGGCTTCCGATTGCGTGACACACGTCAACGATTGGATGCTTCATTGTCCAATCAAGATGCACCAATCCGATCTTGGACGGCAGATCTTGCACATGCCCAAGGTTGGCGTTGCCGCTATGAGCTTTGTGCTGCGTAGCATAATCCTATGTAAGAGGCACTCGCTATAGCCCCACAAATTGTAGCATAGTCAGCCTTTGAAGCGACAGATGCCGGCTCCAACGGACAGCGACCACAATTTCAGCCAGCCTTGACACTTATTCAAAGTGTCTCAACCAACAGGAAGTCAGCAACAATATCTGCGCAATCCAACAAGCAAAGTTCACTAGCACTATCTAGTAGCACTTAAAAGGGCATTGTGGGAGCAAGGATCACCAGTGTGCGCTCGGTCGCGCGTGCAGTAACCCGATGTGAGACCAAATCGAGAAAGTGTGGCATTGAACGAAGGCCGATGAAGTCTCCAGCGTGTGTGACCAGCATGATCACTCGACAAAAACCACGAAAGATGCCAGCGACAAAGCATCCTGTCGTCTTCATCCACGGTACGCCTCCTCAAACAAAGACCGCGAATCTACATTGCCTTCTCACTCCAGGGGCTATGGGCTGGGGCAAAACGTCGCCGCTCTTCAACAGCCTGCCGTCCTACTGGCCAAAAGGCGCTCTGGACGAGCTGAATCCCAACCACATCATTGTCGACGTCGGCAAGGTTTCGTCCGACCACGATCGCGCGTGTGAGGCCTTTTACCAGCTCTTTGGTGGAACCGTCGACTACGGCGAGGCTCACGCTGCAGCTTGCGGTACGATGGCGACGTACTACATCAAATTTTCCACGCGCGTAGGTCACTTGCGCTTTGGCGCCACGCACTCAAAAGCCATGGCATTGCACCCCAACTGGAGCGAGGTAATTCGAGTTTCTCAACATCACCAACCCTTGGCCTCTGTTGATGTCCTCTCTGCTTTGACACTAGCACAACCCTGTGCACTTGGTCGGACACAGCCTTGGCGCCACGACGGGTACGCTCATAACTGGATGCTACGTGCACGAGGAAGCTAACGAAATGTGCGGCCAGCAATCGAGCTCTACCAATTGCTCTGCAAAGACGCATTCCACGTCGGCTCGAACCACAAGTGGGTGAAGGGCATTGTGAGCATATGCGGACCGTTGACTGGGTATGCTACTTCGTCCGCTCGATGGACGTGGTTTATGTATGTTCTATCGTAGGTCGACGTTGGGCAACTTACTTGGTGGCGACGTCGAAAAGGGCCTGTCGTACTGCAGCGCGGGCTACGTGGTGGGCACGTCCCTAACTGTGCTCTGGAAGTGCCAAGAGTTTTACGCGCCGTGGCTCAAGTCCGTCTACGACCTTGGGATGCCGCAATGGACGCCCCATCCATCATGGTCATGGGTGTTTTCACGCGCGAACGACATGTACACGAGCCGAGACCTCGGTATGCTTCACTGCTGCAGTTACACTAGACGATGATCTCGTACGACGTAGCATTCTATGACATTTTGCCCGCTGCACGTCTGCGCAAGAACGAAATGCTTATCGACATGGACAAGGTGCATCTGCTGAGTATCGCTACAAAGGCCACAAATTCCGGACACAGCCTTTCAGCGCTTTCGTACCTTCTCCACGCGTTCACACGCGGACTTGACGCCGACGCTTTGTACGACGGTACGGTTTTGCTCGCCCTAACTTGATCATACGCGGATCTAAAGCTCATGGGTAGGGTTCGAAAGCGATCACTGGGCGCACAACGATGGGATTGTCAACACCGTCTCAATGCGCTACCCGCGGTCAGACTCGGATGATTCGGATGACAGCGGCAGTGTTACTGACCTCGAAGCCTGCCAAGGAATGGTCCGAGGCAAATGGTACACACGATTACTTGAGGGCAAAAACCATCTTTGTGGCACGCACTGGGACAATACTGCTGCTGCATTGTACGAAGATGTGTTTGCTCAAATAGT